TATAAAACACGCACACAAAGCATGTTTGTCGACGGAATCCAACATATTCACACATTCGCCGATATTTACCAATTTTTGCGGATACATATGCTCGAACTCAGTACATTTCGGACCACTCACACGTATGTCTATATCCACACGGGGGTCTACAGAAAGAATCAGCGTGGTCTAAACGGCGGTAAAGATTTTGCACCTGATTACTTGGAGACCATCTACAATGCCATCAGAGACGACGAGATCATCATGCCAGACGAGCAGGTGAGTCAACAATACCGTCGTAAGTATTTCATATGCATACCCCCCCCCCCCAACCACACACACGTATATATATACACATAAGGATCGATCTCACGGTACGTATATATGCATATGCCACATATCTGAACATGGTATGTTCCTACAACTCATGATATACTAACACATCACATCTATCTACCCCATCAGGAGGGGGCGGCATACGAGAATTATCAGTGGGCACAGATCTTGTCTCGGTCGGAGAAGCCCATGTACGGCAGCTACATCAGCGCTAACAGTCGCAGTGACTTTGACAGAGATGTGTTCCTGATTGTGTGGAAGCCAGTCATTGCGGCGGTCAAGTATATCTTCGACACGGCCACTACCGATACTTTGGTGCAGAGGGTGAGTGGTGGGGTGCGTGTGTATGTATTACCACCGATACTTTGGTGCAGAGGGTGAGTGTTGGGGTGCGTGTGTATGTGGGATGGTACAACAACTGCTGTAGTAGAGAGTATTAGTTGGACGTGTAGTCTATGTTAAAGTACTTGTATGAGTATGGTTGAATGACAGCGATGTGTTGCTGATAGTAAGGAAGTCGGTATACATCGGCGCGTTGAAGTGTATCTTTGACACTGACACCACAGATACACTTGTACCGAAGGAAATATCGTCGTGCACGTGATGGGGGAGGATAGTATTGTGCCGGACGTGTCCATGTGTTTATTATGCAGTCGGTTGTGCGTGTGTATAGTATATATCTCACGTCGTGACTCACTCATAGCTGACATATTTAGTTAGTGCAGTTTTTGACATTCCTTTCACTAATATGACCCAGGCACATCATGAATCATATGTCATCCTCTGGATGATGAGCGTGAAACAATAGCGTGCACGCACACATACTCACATGTTGCCCATGCGTTCGAGATAGGTGTTATATTCCCGTCGAACAGAGTGTGTCTTATTTGTCTTATCTGGTGCATGTCACTGTACCGACCAGCGATCACTTGACTTAACTGTTTTGTGTTCGGCTTAAGTCCTACTTACAGTACTCGTGTAGCGTGCGAGTTTCGCCATAGGGTATCATCTGTCTCGTTTTCGATCGGCCCTGACTTAACACTGTCCTAAAAAGACAGGTGCAGCCTACTCATGATTATTATTTGCCTTGGATTTCCCCCCAAACAGGCTATCAATGGGTTCCAGAAGTCGACAACGCTGGCGGCGTCGTATGGGCTGAGTGAAGTGGTGGATAAGATGGTTATCAGTCTAACCAACTTCACGTCGTTGCTGGCCAGTGATGATGCGGCGAAAGGGTATGAATGGGCGACTCTATTCTTGCGCGCACGCACAGACATGCAAATGGTTGGTGGTTATGGGTCATGGGTCATGGGTTATGGTTATGGGTTATGGTTTATGGTATATGGTTTGGGGATTCTGGTTTATATTTATGGTTTATACATTCTGGTTTATGGTTATGGTTTATGGTTCATAGGTTATGGTTATGGTTCATGGTTTATGGGATATGGTTTATGGGATATGGTTTCTGGTTTCTGGTATATAGTTTATGGATTTCGGTTTGATTCATACGCATCTTGCATGGATGTATGGGAGTAGACTTTCTCGTTTGCATCCCCGTATGCGTGCTAAAATGCTGTTTGAGCTATTGATGAAAAGCACAGGAATTCGCAACAATATGATAAGCTCGCACTATTCTTTCCTTGTATGTCGTTATATGTATGTATAGATACGATATTTAATTATCAACGGTATTTGCCTTGCTATACATCTAATATCTTATTTTCGGTAAGGAAGCACAGGAGTTCGCAATATTAGCATACTTGCGCGTTATTCTTTCCTGACATGTCGTTAAAGGTACACACATACACACACACACACACACACGCACACACACACACACACACACACACACACACACACACACACACACACACACACACACACAC